TACCCGAGCTGGAGCTGCCGCTGCCCGCCCTCCTCTTCAAGGTCGACTTTGTCACCCTGGACTCCAACAGCGGCGCCGTGGACAACAACGGGTGAGGGGGCTGCTGGGGACTGGGGCTGGGGAGGGGCAGCCCTGGGCAGGGGGGGCTCCGCACCAGGTCCACGCGAGGAGGCTTGGGGCCGGGGCTGGGTGGGGCTGGGGGCTGGCGCGAGGTTGCTGCGGCCTCTGCGGCCCGTGGCACGACGCGTGTGGCAGGCTGGCACGCCTCCACCTGCCTGCCTGCCTGTAACGCCAGCGCGCCTGCGACGTCAGCCCACCCCTGCGCCACCTCCCCCCCTGCTTTCCTCCCTCCCCCTGCTTTCCTCCCGCAGCGGCAAGGACTTCCAGCTGCAGCTGTCTGGCGCCATCTCGGAGCAGGAGCTGCAGATGAAGCGCATGCAGCTGCTGGAGGCGTACGAACAGCAGCGGCGACAGGTGGGCTTGGCGCCCGGCCCTGCGCCTAGCGCCGCTTAGGGCCGCCGGGCCTGGGGTACCTGGTCGGTGTGGGCACTGTGGAGTGCCTGCCATGCAGCTGCCACACAGCTGCTGTACACCTGCGCCACGTCACGCGACCGAGCCGCCGCCGCTGTGCCGCCGCTTTTCGGGCTGTTTCGACTGACAAGTCCCTCTGAGTGCCTGCGCCCGGCTGCCCCCCGTTCCAAACCCGCTGCAGGAGCTGCGGGTGGAGGAGGACCGCATCTACTCTGAGTGGATGTCTGCGGCAGAGTCGGCGGCCAGGGACGCCCGCACCACCTACCACGTGCGCCGCCGCGAGCAGCTGATGCTGGAGGCGCGGGCGGTGGTCAGCGAGCGGCGCGGCGCCGCGCTGCAGCAGATCTCCACGCTGCAGAAGAAGGAGGGGGTGTTCCTGTGGCCCGGCGGCACACCGGCGGCGGGTGAGCGGCCGGCACGCGAGCCCCGTTTCGCCATGCGGCCGTTGTGGCACGCTCCAGTTTCGGGGAGCGCCTGCCTGGGCCCCTGCCCCGTGCTGCGGCTGCCGCTGCTGCCGCTGCCGCTGCTGCGGCGGCGCTGTCGCTGCTGCTGCTGCGGCGGCACATGTGCGAGCACGAGTGGCGCCTGGATGCCTGGGTGCCTCCTGCCCTATTACGCAGCCGCTGGTGTGACCTCCCACACGCGCCCCACTCCCCCCCGCACCCGCTCCCTGCAGGCGCCGTCTCCACGCTGCTCTACAACCGCGCCTCTGGCCCGCTGCGCAACTCCAACAGTCCCGTCTTCTTGCACGTCGGCTACGACGGCTGGTGGCTCAAGGTGCGCACATAGTCGGTCAATGCTCCGCCGCCGTCGCCCCAAAGGGAGGGGGTTTGGAGGCTTGCAGGGCCAGCTGGCAGGTGTTGCGCGCCCGCCGGCGTGGCGGCGGCGCGTACCTCCCTGCCGGCATGCCTGCTGTGCCTGCTGTGCGCTGCTTTGCAGGCTGGAAGGCGGGGCCCCTGCCCCCGCCCCGCCGTGATTGCCGCTGCCGCCCCCTCCTAGCTGCCCGCCTGTCGTGCAGGGCAAGCGCCTGGATTGCTTTGGGCCGGTGAATGCGCCTGCGTGCCTGCCGCGTCGCGCGCCCGCGCCCCGCCGCCGCTCCAGCCCACTAACCTGCCTCCCTACATGCCCTGCCCGCTCACCCCCTGCCCACCTACCTGCAGCCGTGTCCCTCCCCAAACCCCCTGCCCCTCCTGTCCACACACTGACCCGGCCTTGCCCCGCCTCTTCCCTCTCCTGTGCGGTACTGCTGTCGTACCGCCGGTACTGCAGGACAAGCGCGTCATCGCCATGAACCCGCTGTCAGATGCCGACGTAAAAAAGTACAACCTGCCGGCCAAGGGCCAGTGGGTGGCGGCAGAGGTGAGCGGCCTGCTATTACAATGTACCGCAATGCGGCGC